TAGAAACATCCCCCTGAACCACCATCTTTACCATGAAATGTGGAGAAAATATGCTTTGCTTTGCTTCTCAGGCAGGGAAGACGGTCAGAGTTAAATGGGAGGACAAACAAACAACAAAAAGTTTGTTCAACAAATTATTGACGTGTTTCACTTCCTGCCACAGTACAATTAGTATTTTTTTGTTTATGAAATCAAATATCTATGCAACTCAATAAACATGATGGTTATTCAAAGACTTTTAATACTTTAGCAAAGGTATTTCTAAGTAAACCAGCAGAGCAGCTGTAGTCTATGCGATTTCTTTCTGCAGACGGCATTTTGTTCTTTAAATAGAGTAGACTGCACCTCACACATATCATCACAGGCTTCAGGCATTTATCAGTCATTAATAGAGAAATTCATTTCAGAGCAGCAAAGTAGTTTCCACATATTAATATGCAGGGCAGCTGGATTCATTTGAAACTATCATTAGTGCTCAGCTTTACCTCCCTGCTAGAAGATTGGTGAAAACAACAAACAGCGAAAACAACCTGAGCTGAAAGCAGAGACCGTCGCTGAGATGAAAGCAGCTCGCAGTGAATATTTCAGCTGCCTGATCGTCCCCTATTCATTTATCCAATTTCATCTAGTAAACAGGATTTTCCCCGCCATACTTTCAATATAGCCGTTCAGGCAGGTAGGTTTCCAGTTGAACGCTTTTCTTGTTCTTTGAGCTCTGCTACACGGCTGTAATAATGTGATTGTGAAAAATAATGAACAGTTATAATGAGCTATCAGAGATGGTGGCAGTTGTTAGCTTCAGATTAAAAGCCGCCTCACTGTGCTCTGAAATATCAGTAACACACTGCAAAAACGATCTAGAAATAAGTAAAAATGTCTTTAATTGAGTATATTTACCCTTAATTTGAGTAGGTAGATAAGATGAGTTTGAGTGAGCATTTTTACTCTCAAAATAAGATAATTAGACAATATGCACTTGAAATAAGGGTTAGGGTTTGTTTTTTCTTCGTTTAAATGTAAATTGTCTTGTTCCATTGACAAGGTGTCCCACTTACCTCCTAAATTCAAGAACAAATGCACTTAATTTAAGAAAAAATGACTTATCCAGATTTCAATTTTTTTCAAGTGCAGGTCTCCTCCGGACCCCCTAATTATATATATAATATGAAATAGTGTTCTTTCACTGGTCCTATAGTCACTCTATCACAGATGGAGTAATGTAACTAAAGTAATCCCTCCCTGGGATTATTAAAGTGTTTCTGCTTCCTGGTTGATGGGACAGGTGTTGTGGATGAAACGGTGCCCAGCTTGAAAGAGCTCCTGTGTGTCGCTGAATGTGTTCATTGATGACTGAAAGACATCTTCTGACTCCATTTATCTGTTTACTACAGTCTGTTGAATTCATGTTAATGTGGATTTAAAGATACTTCAATTAGTGGAAAAAAATAGAGGGACAAATAAAA